CCGATAGAAACTGTGGTCAAATCGGATGCAGACATAGATTTCGTGCGAATATTTCACTCAAATAAGCAACAAATGGGTCCTAATTATTGCCTAAACAATGATTGCCAACACATATGTCTACCAAATGGTAATCATAGCTATCGGTGTCTTTGTTCAGACGTGGATCTACTGGACACTTGTGAACAATCAAATATAACCATTCCTTTAGTAACGGATATACCGATTGAAAACCAAAATTCAAGCGCTTTATCTGAATTGATGTCAACCTCTGACCCCTTATTATTGATTGTGTCGCATAAGAGGGACATAAGACTCGCCAAAGTGTCCGATAATCACACACTTTATTACATAGACTCAGAATTTGTACAAAAATGCAATCAATACGTGTTTGCCATTGACTATACTATTGCTGACAATTATTTGATTGCCATTAAGACTGTATCTCAATATTCACCAGATTTGGCCACTTTGTATAGACAGCCCATTATCGACAACCAGTCCATTGCTGTCAACACAAGCAATGACTTAATAGATATAACCGAAAGTTATAAATCATTGGCATTGGATTACATCCATAATATAATATACTACCCCCTGTGTAACTACATGAACAAGGATATTGGTATATATGCCGTCAATATGACTGACCCCCACAAACACCAGTTCCCAATTGTTAGGCAACAACATTGTGTGGTCAAAGATATTCGTGTGGATCCGTTGGAATCACTATTATTCTGGAGTGAATACATACCATCGGAAACCAGTTCCAGTTCTTATAGTTCTTACAGTCGATACACTTCGAGACCAACTTATAGTGACGCGAGACATAAAAGCCATATAATGCGGTCATCACAGGACGGACAGGGCGTTCAGATTATTATGTATTCACAGTATGTGCGAAGGAATACCTTGAGCATAGACATCACAGCCAAAAGGCTTTATTGGATTAGTTCCGAGAATTCGTATTCATCTGTCAGTCGGTTATACACTATTGGATACGACGGCTCAGACCAGAAGCTAATCCTGTCGTCAAAGAGTCTGTTCTCAGAGACCACTATCACCGCAATGGATGTGTTCGGGGATTACATCTATTGGACGGACAATGCAAACGATACTATACTTCGCGTAAATATGAAGGAGTCGAGTGAAGAACCGGTAGTCCATGTGCTGTTGCAATCGGGTATAGACATCAATGCCATGAAAGTAGTGCACAAATCGCGTCAACCTATGGCTAGAAATAAATGTGAGTCTCATTTGTGTCCCAAACTGTGCCTACCGTCCAGTTATAATCACCGCAACTATACCTGCCGTTCCCAATGCGAGTCGCAGACTTGGAACGGGAATACCTGTGTCACTGAGAGCCCGGTGTCCGTAACTCCTATTTATAGAGTAACAACCCCTTCAACTCCGTATGAAGTGTTGGACAACGAAACAAAGTTATTGTTTGTGTCCTATAAGGAGGGAATTTATGTCAAACAGAATATTCACGAATTGGACACTAATTACATTGAGTCCATTGGATTGGTCTCAAGCAATGAGTTGATTACGGAATTGGATTATAATTACAACAAGAATTTTATGCTTTATATCGTAAATAATATTATTACTGGATTTACATTATATGCCACACCTATTGATAGAAGTAAGCCATCGATGTATAGAAACAATCAACGATTACTCAAAAAGTCTTATGACTGCAAATCAATGGCTTATGATTATATACACGATTTAGTGTATATAGGGGTCGCTAAAGGTATCGAAGTGTTTACTATTGGCCACAATCTGTACTCATATGATGTGGTCATTCATAATGAATATCATAATTCATATGATGTGGCGGTCGACCCCAACAATGGACTTCTTGTATGGTCTAAAACGAAGTATATGTTAGGCTCATACTTGGTCCGATATATGGGAAGCATAATGCGTGCCAATCAGGACGGCTCTAACATACAGGTGCTCTATAATAGTACGGGAAATATTCAAACATTAACACTCGACATACGCTCACAATTGGTTTATTGGATCGATACAGACACCGATTTTTTGGAATCAATCACTTACTTTGGGACTAATTACCGGTTAATAAAAGATAGTTCCCGGTTTAGTTCAGTATTTTCTATGGATATGTTCGGGGAAAACATTTTTTGGTCCAATTCTGATACCAATTCTATATATATAACGGATATTACCGAAAGGGAAAGTGTGGAGAGGTTGGTCACGTCGTACGCGGATTTACAGGCTATCCGTGTCCTCGACCCTAACCGACAAATCAATGGCACAAATAGGTGTCTCAATCATGAATGTTCGCAACTCTGTCTACCCGTCCAACATTACTACCGGTGTGTTTGCGCTAAGAATCGGATTCTGTGTAAAGAGAATGTGAGCCAAAAATCTTTGAAATTTATTTGAAATTCTTATAGCAATTGAAATGTATTTTAGGAAACATTAATAATGAAAACAAATGACAAGAATCTCATAGAGAATACAACCGATGATAGTATGGGAAGGATATCACAAAAATTGGATTCTTTGCTGAACACGACTAGTAATGCCACCAACTATTGGATTATTATAGCAGTGATTATCATATCTATTAATTTACTGCTAATCGGTATCTATTTTTACCGCAAAATGAAAGCGTAAGTAAACTATAATTT